GATTTTTCCAGGTTTTAAGTGCTATAATCAGGTCCCCGGTGCATCTACCAACCAAGGAAACGTGAAAAAGATTAACCCAGTAACTTTGTTTAGGTAAGCCTTTTTCTGCAAGAGTCTGAGAAAACGAGCGCGTTTAATTTTGCTCCCTTGGTGACGTGGCAAAGGGATCTCATTATAATATTACCGCCCCTTAATCTGTAAGTTTCCACCCACAGCGCCGTTATTGTGTTTTCGCAAGCGACAACGGTGTACCAGCTCTAATGCCACGGCGAACGTTTGAGCAAAACACACTGTTCTGCCTTTGTCTGCACAGACTAGAGTCCCAGCCTCAGAGGAGACGAGACAGCAGTGCATTTATTGATTTATTTACTGTATATTGCTGATGCCACACAGATCTAGAATAAACATGCGATTTATTTCCCAGCTGTTTACCTTCACAGACATAACCGACTGTCTTTGTAACTCGTGTGTTTTTAACGTAAACTTGTGTGAATGAGAACTTAGTTTAGTACTCACATGCCACATGACAGCCGCTTTCTTTGAGTGTGCTTCGGTTGTGTGCGCTCAGAAAACCGTATATCAGAAGTTTAGACTCAATATGGTTTAAAACACATGATTTCAGCGTGATAAACATGATAATCAGAACCAAAACAGATGTTTTTAGCAGATACGAGCTGTAAAGGCGCAGCTCTATTCTGAAAAGGGGGCGGGGACTGGGAGCAGCAGCTCATTTGCATTTAAAGAGACAGGCCCGAAAAACAGCGCGTTTCTGCTTCCACTCAAAATAGGCATTTTCAAAATGATCTGTGGAGTATTTTGAGCTGAAACTTCACAGACACATTCTGGGGACACCAGAGGCTTATATTATATATTGTAAAAAGGGGCATAATTTGTCTTCTTTAACATCTGGAGAAGACAAAAGCTGTGTGTTTGTAAGAAAAAAAAAGATTACTTGTGGATTATTGTGATGTTTTTATCAGCTGTTTGGACTCTCATTCTGACGGCACCCATTCACTGCAGAGCATCCATTGCTGAGACACTGATGCAATGCTACATTTCTCCAAATCTGATGAAGAAACAAACTCATCCTAATCTTGGATGATCTGAGAGTGAGCACATTTTTAGAAAGTTTTAATTTTTGGGTGAATTAATAAGGTCAAGATCTTTAATGTTTTTTCTGGACGTGATGCTGCTTGTATCACAGGTTCACATGTGAACGTGACTCTCGGTTATTTTACACCCAGATCCAACATTATTGACTTAACATTCATCTTACATGATTGATTTAATATTCCTCTAGGATTGTGGTGCCTGTAGTTTTTCCTTTATAAAAATAAACCTACTTTGTGTACAAATGATCCTCAGTGGTCTTTATTGAGCGTTCGTCTGGGGTTTCAGTTTGTGTCATGCTGCGTGTTTTTCATACTAACCCTCATTTCAAGCTTGGCTTTGCTCCGCTGACATCCTCTCGTTCCCTCACACCCCAGCGTCCTGTGCATATGAATGTGTATTCAATATGTATTAATGTTCATTCGTTTGTAGTTGTTTGTACACTAAAGGAATAGTCTGGCTAGAAATGAACATTTACTCACTCTCATGTTGTTTCAAAGCCTGCGCTGTTATTATTGACTAACAATATTAGCAACACAAAAGGAGCTCTTTTCCATTCATAGTGAGCACATGTAGTGCATAACAAATTCAGTTTCAGCATTTAAATTGCTCAAAACATCATATGACTTCAGAAGACATGGAATATAATGTAATATTTAATGAATATAAAGTCTTATGTGCAACCGTTATGACACTTTTTTACTTTTTTGTTTTTGAATTCAAGATATTTATTATTGCATTTGTAGCAAGACCATTCACATTCTTAAATTCACTCAAAAAACCCTGTGAATATTAAATTATGATGACTATTTATAAGTAGCAAAAGTCTCACGTTATTACAGTTACTACAAAACAATTTTTGTTTTTTCATCACAAACTGTATGATCACACAGCTCTTTATTATAAAGTTGGATAAGTATGAACCAGGGTTAAAATATTTTTTTTAAATAAAAAATAAACTTTAGCTGAAATGAAATAAAATATTAAAAAGGTGTTTTATTTAGCTAGTTGCCAAGGCAACATTGCTCATTTTCATTTAGTGTAACTTGACATACTAAAATAACTAAAATTAAAGAAAATAAAATTATAATAAAAATTTGAAAAATAAACAAATGTTATTTAAAACTCTATTTAAGTCCAAAAAAGAAAACAAACAAAAGTGACAAAAACACAACAAAACAACAAACTTTTTTAAAATAAAAACAAAAAATATAAATGAAGAAATCGAAATTTATGTTTTTGTCATTTTTATTGTTTTTTGTTTTTATTAATTTGTACTTCTTATTTCTAGTTTTTCTTATTTTGTTTTAAGTAATTTTTGTTTTAGTTACTTTATTACATCAAGTTAAACTATTATGTAATCTTTATTATGTAATGGTACTTGAAATAAAATAATTTTTAGATGAAATAAAGTTTTGTTTTATTTCAGCTAGTTTTCAAGACATTTCTCGTGTTCATTTTTTTAACTTGATGTACTAAACTAAAACAGAAATTAAATTAAATAAAGTTATGAAAATTAGAAATAAGAAGTAAAAGAAATGGGAAATAAAAAATGATAAAAAAAATGTTTTTAATTTTTAATATTTTTTTTTTGTTTGTTTTTATGTTAGTTTTTATCAATTTTAAGTTTTAGTTTTTTTAGTACATTAAGTTAAACTAAATGAAAATGAGAAGTTATAGGCAACCAGCTTTAAATGTTTTAACTTTTCACTATTGTTTATTTAAAACAGAAATGTAAAAATATATTGCATCTGTCTAAAAAATAACAGCACACAAGTTTGAAATGACATGAGGGAGAGTATATGTTCATTTACGGATGAGTTATTCCTTTATAATGTGTGTGTGTGTGTGTGTGTGTGTGTGTGTGTGTGAGTGAGTGTGTGCGC